AAATTTATTTTGAAAAAACTGGGCCAGAAGGAACCGTGGTTGGTACAATACTAAAAAGACAAAACTTTGATTTAATTCGTCTAAAAGTTTACTTTTTTTTACAAAAATCTAAGGGAAATTTATCTAAACCATCATAAGAATGTGGCTGAGAACTGTTACCTACAAATCTAGATGACTAGACTAGTTTAGGTTCCACCCGAAATATCTACTAGGTCAGCCGAAGTAGGATATTAAAAAGTAAAATTAAGTTCAAGGTGAAAGAGATTTTGCCGGATAATTAATGCGCATATAAAAATCTAAAGCGCTCCCCATCAAGCGCTAGTTTAAGACGATGTTTAAGTATTTAGGTACAGAAATTTGCAAAATACAAACACAATTTAGCATTTGAATTTGAATCCGAGCGGATATTTCCATTGAGTGATTTGTAATTTTTGAATGTGTATTTCATCCAAGGAAAAATTGTTTGGTAATTGAAACGTGCGTATAATCGGGGAATTAACATGTCGACCTAGTCACCTGGACCGCGACAAATAGCAGAATTAAACAAAAATTAAAAATGATTTGTAACCAAAGAATGCCACTTTCACGTAATGACCGACAATCGCAATAATTTTCGGCAGTTCTCATTAGAATATGGACTTTTAATGTTGTAGATTTACGCAAATTTCCCAGGCCCCATTATTCAACGCCACTTGCTTTAGGCCCAGGGTCCAAGAAGAATTATTCGCTATAATTATATTCTTTGGCAACGCCACGTTATATTTAATTAGTGATTTGTGGAATTGCGTTAAAATTGATAAATCCTGCACAATCGGCTTTCAGTTTCGGACTAATGGCGCAAACTAGTACGTGTCCAAAACCTATTAAAGTTATATAACTCAAGAAGAAATCTCATAACTGAAATTTATTGTTCGTTATCCCGAATCTACGATTTTAAATGAGAAGTTATCGCATCTTGCAACTGCATTATTAAATTTTCAGATTTATGCCGCTTATTAACAGAAGGTAGTTGACAATTTGGACCCGAAAAATACTTAGGAACAGCAAACAGAGCATATGAAGACAATGCGACTAACTGTGGCTTTCTTTCACTGGACGCAGATAATGATTCTTGTAATTTGTTACATTTTCAGCAAAGATTTGAGGTGAAACGTGCCCATTCGTGTCAAGGACAGTATAACTCAGCTAAAAGATGAACCTTTGATGGATTATTCTTCAGAAAGAGTGTTGCAATTTCGTTATGTAAGAATGGTTTACCAATTTGAGCTCCGCATTGGCATATTATGAAAACGCTTGCCATCAATATGTTGTTGATCTTCCATTTAGTGGCGTGAGAAAGTCCTCAATGTCATTACCGCCAATGATCCGGAATAATGTGAGGAAATTTGCACATTTTTCTAAATGAGTTTCTTCAATTCATTCTTCTAAATTTGTTTTCTTTTCTTCAAGCTGCGTGTTAATTAAGACGAAAATAATCGGGCCATCGCGACAGATTTTCTCGGGTAATCATTAACTCATAACTGAGCAGTGAAAACCGGTAAGAGGATATTGCCGAAAGACGCTAAGAATAAACTATCAAGTTTTCTAGGTTATTTGATTCGGTATTTAAATACCTGCAAATGAAAGTTCAACTACAGCCTACAGGTTGTGCAATAATGTGCCGCTTATTTTGATTTTATTCGAATAACTGGTGTCGTTGTTTCAAGCTTACATTCATTTGCTTTTATGCCTGACATTGTTCTTTATGCCTTTATATTCCGTCTTTTATTAACAATTTTTCATTAGTTTTGCATACTTCAAAGTGGTTCTAAAGTGTTTAAATACAAACCACTTTTGCGCTTTTAAAGAACGCATCCTGCCACAGTCCGTAATAATTATATGGATTTACGAATGGTTACAAATTGGATAATTCATGTGGGCTTGAAAGTTTTGTTTCAATTTAAGTTTATTACTCATAATCAATTTAAACATATTTATTCGCATTGCCTGAATGCTAATAACAACATTTCAAACTTCCGTCCTTTTGCCTCATAGAGCGGCCATATTTCTAAAATTTCTGTTGAAATTTTGTAATTTACATATAATTTTTTATTTGCAGATTTTCATAAAAGGTGAAACATGGCCAGCCTCACAAGATGGTACAGCGACTTTATGAGACACTATCAGGGTATGTATAATGGAAAAATTAAGCTGCAAAGCATTTTTTATATAAAAAAATAATTAGTGAGAAATAGTGCGAGCTACAAACTTTATTTTTTCAGTTTTGGATAGACAAAGCCTTGCTCTATGTTAGACTAAAATGTAGTTGTAAATTCATATTACCGCCGTTTTTCACATATTTTTAATCGAAAAATTAGCACTTTTGCGCTCTATTGCGGCTGGTTCAATTACTCAGAACGTAAGGCTGCAAGCTTCGGATTTTCTTGCTTTGTAGAAAAACCGTGTTTTATGTTGGCAAAAAGTGTCATTTGAAGATGATTTTCAAGTAGTTTTTGACATATTTTCATAATGGGCCTTTACACTTTCTCGCGTTATTGCCGCTGATTTTATAAAATTAAATTACTCAAAACTCATGAGCTCTAGATGCATTGTTTTTGCACTATTAGATAGGGAAAGTCTTGATCTATATTGACCGAAAGTTTCGTTAAAAAATGCGTTTTTCACAGATTTTCAAACGGGACTTTTGCACGTTTTCGCTCTATTCGCGCTGGTTTTATAAAAAATTATTACTCAGAACTCGCGAGAGCCAGAAGCCTCGTTTGTACACCGTTTTATATAAAACGTGTTGGTGCATGATGAACAAAAATGCATTTTAAAATTCATTTTCAAGCGATATTTGACAAATGCTCAAACTGGACATTTGCAGTTTTTCGCGCTATTTCCACTGGTTTAAAAAAAATAAGTTACTCAAAACTATCGACTTCTCAAAGCATCATTTTCACACTATTAGATAGATAAGGTCTTGCTCTATGTTTGGGCAAAAAATTCATTAAAAAGGCGTTTTTAGCCGTTTTTCACAGATTTTCGAACGGGACTTCGGCAAGATTTCGTTCTATTGTCACTGGATTGAACAAATTAGTCAAAACTGGCGAGATTTAGCAGCCCCATTTATGCATTATTTTATAGACAAGAACTGGATCGATGATGGACAACGGGTGCATTAGGAAGGCGTTCTCAAGCGATTTTCAACAAAGATTTTCAAACTGCCGCTTATTTTAACAAAAAGTAAATTACTCAGAACTCGCGAGTTCTAGAAGCATCGCTTTTGTACTATTAGATAGAGAAAGTCTTGCTCTATGCCGGGGAAAAGTTTCTGTTCAAAAGGCGTTTTTAGTTCGTTTTTTACATATTTTCAAACGGGACCTTTGCACTTTTTCGCTCTATTGCAGCTGGTTTTTTAAAAATTAACTACTCCGAAGTGGCAAGAGCTAGAAGCCTTCTTTTTGTGCTAGTTGATAGCAAAATGTCTGCTCTAAGTTGGGGGAAAGTGCAATTAAAATCACATGTTCAAGCGCTTTTTGCCAAATTTTCAAACGAGACATTTGCCCGAGTGCCGTTTGAAACCAGTGAGTCCAGGCCTAAAAGCGCGAAAAAGTCATCAGTTTCACTCTGTGGAAGTTTCTCATTTTCCATAGTTAGTGCTAAATTATCCAGAATTTCAAGATTTCAGAGAAATAGGCACTTTCTAGTTCGAAAGAAATAACATTGACGAAAAATGTAGGAGAAAAAAATCGAACTAAATCTACCGACTTACTTTAAAACATTTCGTCTAGCAGTCGATTAGCAGCAAATAAAAATTGTGAAACCCATTAATAAAACCAGATATTTGATTGAGTAAATACGTCGCCAATTAATGCCGATTATTCATGCGGTAATATTGATATAAGACTTCGCATTCTTGGTGGGTCCTTGTATTTCCGAGGATTTACATTTATTGGCAATATTTTCGATGTTGCACTACTCATTATGAAATGTTCGTTAATTTTTCGGGAGCGGCCAGAATCGCGCCATTACGAATTAAATTAATTTAAAAGAAAAACTAATAATGGACATTTTAGTATTTTGCAAAGGTAGACTATCAGATGGATAATCGCATCAAATAAATTGACTTTCACCAGAATAATGCCTTTAACTTGCAAATCTACATGAATGTTGAATTCAAGCAAAGGTAAAACGGAAACCAAATTAGATGTTGATTCGATCAAATTAACATCGTTCCATATTGGCAACGCTCATCAAACAAACATTGCGTAACGGTTGCACTTGCAAGAAATGCACAAGTAAATTGCATTAGAAAAACCAGTATCGACCTCGTGCCCAGCGTGTCGTCAGGCCATTCTTCGGATGGGCAAAATACTGGGATGACCAAAGAAAAAAACCCATAGAAAGTCTAATAAATAATGCAGAAAACAGGATTACATGCTAATTCGAGGAGATAATTTACGTTACAAACTCCCTTGGGTGCTGTTCTACCTGGTCGTTGGGTGGAGAACTTTAAAAAAAAGTCTCTCGCGTTCTTCCAGTCTGGGTTTTCTTTGCATGCATCTACTCAGTAGCGAAATATGTTGTTCAAAGCCTCGAAATGTGCACTTTAGTATATGAAGAACGTTTACTGACGGAAGTAATTTGCGCAAAATAATTGTTATAAAAGTGGAAAATATTGATTTGGAATATATTGGTGTGAAGCAAGTTGTCCACCTTGAAGCAAGTGCAACCTCTGCATGCAGTAGCACACCGTAAATGGCAAAAAACGGATCGAAAACAGATGCTTTTAATATTTTTGCTTAATTCGTCATGGAAAATATTAATAAATACGTGATTTAGTCGATAACAAATCTGCAAAATTGCTTTCAGTTGACTTTTAACATACATAAACTGTTTAGCAAAATGTGCGATACGCAGTCAAATTTGGCCTAATTTTGGAACTGGATAAATTCTAAATGCGGCCATCGAATTAATCGCTCTTTAAATTGTTCTGTAGATTAATTCTTCTCCTATCGGTTGGTGGTTTTTGCAAATCTTAGTACTTCAAATAAAGTTCCTTCCAAAATTTCTGAAAATTCAGTCAGTTGAAGAAGTAATCTTTATTTTCATTTTCAGAAAAAAATGGGCTCTTTCGAAAGAGTTTCTGAAGTTTTTTCGTTTTGTGGTGAAAACATTGATCAATATATTTTCTCTCAATATTGCAAAAATGAGGTTTCTTGCTCTGATCAGTTATGCTAAATATTTTTTCTTTGAAGAGGCAATGAAGCGAAAAAGTGCAAGTGACCCGTTTGAAAATCTATTAAAAACCGCTATACATTTTTTTTCCAATGCTTCTTTCCCGTAATGTAGAGAAATATCTTTTCTGTCAAATAGTACAAAAATACAGTTCTAAGAAAGATTCTTTTAAGCGACAATATTGCGCAAAAGTGCAATTGTCCCGTTTGAAAATCTATTAAAAACCGATCAGATTTATTTTTAATACAATTTTCCTGCAATGTAGAAGCAGATTTTCTCTCTCCAATAGTATAAAAATAAGCCTTCTACCTTTGACCGGTTCTGAGACAGATTTTTTTTAAGCGGCAGTAAAGCAGAAGACAAAAAAGTGCGATTGTCCCGTTTGAAAATCTATTAAAAATCGCGCTAAAATTTATTTTCAAGGCAACTTTCCTGCAGTGTAGAGGAATATTTTC